TCATTGCGCTGCGCCACAGGAAGTCACTCCTTCCTCTGGCCATCAAACTGTAGAATTCACCTCTCTGACACTCATTTATTCACTTATTATTTATTTATTTCATTACTTCACTAAAGCACAATAACATGGTCATGTGCAATAATTGTAAATTGGTAGTGAGCAGCATTGTAAATACTGTCGATCCTATTTACTGCAATCCTTATATCTTATTTTCTCTCTTATGTAAACGGCTGCAATGCAAGAAAATAATTTCTTGCAAAGGATTAATGAAGTAATTCTGATTCTTATGAAAAAAACAGGCAGTAAATTCTGACTGAAAAAGGTCCTGAAACCAAAGAGACTGAATAATCGAAAACGGTGGAAAAAAATGTCTCTTGATCGATTTATTCTATAAATACGCATTTTTAAACCAACTGTTAAGTATGAAATCTAAGTCAAATTTAAAAGCAAACAATAAACCTGAAACATTTTTTAGAAACAGATTTTTTTTTCAGATAACAGACAAGTTTAAGTTTAAAGTGATTTTTCAGTCTTGTTGAGAAAACTGCCATAATCTAAGGTTTGTTAGTTTAAATGAGTTGGTTACGATCAGCAGCTCCACGGCTTTCCTTCAGATTCCTTTACGGATGGACGATAAAATCCTTCTCTGGTTTTACTTTTTTCCTTAATCAGAACCGGTCTGATGAGTAAAACCAGATCCGTGTGTATTTATTTGTTCCTACTGATGCAGCAAAGGATTATGGGAAAGAAAGGTAAACATATATGCATCAGTAAATAAGATTTTTACTTGGAAAAAGTAAAAAAAAAAGAACAAAATCGACAAACAAGATCCGACAGAAGAACGAAGATCCTCCTTCCTGCTAAAATTAATTCCCTGAAGGAAGAGGGACGAACCTCTGATCTCTAATTATTCACTGGGTTACTGATAGACCGAAAAGACTGAAGTCACCTGCCGCCATCTTGGTACTCCCCACTTTCACAGAGTCGTGCCATAAAAATGACTGTAACGTAATTACCATAACAATGTAATCAATACATGTATATTACTTGTACATCATCTATTTAGCACTTTTAGTAAATCATCACATGTACTAAATCAGGGGTCACCAACGCGGGCACCAAGGGGCCCTCAAGGGCCACATGGGGGGCCCTCTTCGTCTTCTGAAAACAGAAGAACTCACTCAGTGGGTTAAGTTTAATTTTTTTTTTTATTCTGTTGCTCTTCTTTTTAATCATGTATGTATTATTTCGTCATGTTAACTATTTCATCATATTTCAGCGGTTTCAAAATGACAACATTAAAAAGAAAATTAGAAATGAATAAAATAATAAAATAAGAATAAGAATGAGTTTTTATGGATGAGATTTACTGTTACGGCCTTAAAAAGGTTGGTGACCCCTGCTATAAATACTGTAATATTCTTAATATCTGACTGCAGCATTATTACGCTCCATTAACAAACAAATCTACTGCCCCTAGTGGAGGAGTTTAAGTATCTTAGGTTTTATTCATGAATGAGGTGAAGATGGAGCGGGAGATCGATAGGCGGACTGGTGCGGCGTCTGCTGTGAAGCGTGAGCCGTACCGCTCTGTTGTGGATTTACCGGTCGATCTACGTTCCTACCCTCATCTATGGAGCTTTGGGTCATGATTGAAAGAACAAAATCCTGGATCCAAGCGGCTGAAATGATTTTTCTCCGTAGTGTGTCTGGGATCTCCCTTAGAGAGGGGGAGGAGCTCAGTCATCCAGGGAGGACTCAGAGTAGAGCTGCTGCTCCTCCACATCGAGAGGAGCCAGTTGAGGTGGCTCTAGCATCTGGTTAGGATGCCTCCTGGACGCCTCCCTGGTTAGGTGTTCCAGGCACGTCCCACTGGGAGGACGCCCAGGAGGAGACCCAGGACACGCTGGAGGGACTATGTTTCTCTGCTGGACTGGGAGCGCCTTGGGATTCCCCCAGAGGAGCTGGACCAAGTGGCTGGAGAGAGGGACGTCTGGGCCTCCCTACTGAAGCTGCTCCCCCCGCGACCCGACCCCAGATAAACGGAAGAAGATGGATGGATAACAAACGAATTTTATTGTGATGGATTTGTATAATACGTGTTAGGTTTATTCAATGATGATTATAAAATGAATGTGTGCTTATGAAACATTTTTGCAAGGGGATGCTCCACTCCTGTCTCATGATGCAGTCAGGAGACCATCCTTCCTTGTCATTCTGATGGAGCATTCTGTCTTCATGAACTGATCAATTGTTCTGTCAGAACAATACTCTGTTTGTAACCATGCGTCATGTTCTGTTAATAAAAGACGGCTGCAGGAGGGGATTCGGAGAAGGAAAGCTTGAAGTTGGGTTGGGCTTTTCCTTCCGCTCCGTCAGAAGCTGCTTGAATCTCTTTTCTTGTGTAGACTCAATTTCTACTTATTTGCAAATCTACATTTTCTGAATCCAACAATACGTTATATCACATGATTTAGGAACTTTATAGACTTCGTACTGACTAAGTAATCTGATTTCTTTTATCATACGTTACAGTAATCTACTTATGCTATGAAACAGCAAGTGTGTATCCAAGTGATGAATTTATCTTTATTTTAAAAGTCAGAAAATGAGAACATTGTCATCGTTTCATGCTGTAGTGCATGTATTGTCTAAATTGCAACTGGTTCAACTGGGGAGTAGCAATATGGCTGCTGGTGACTTCCCAGCAATGTGTACTACCAACGGCCTATAAGCAATCCAGCTAATGAATAGAGATCAGAGGCGGTCGATCTGATGAACCTGCAGAACATCAGCTGCTTTCTGTTCTGCTCACTTCTTCATTTCTCAGGAAGGAAAAATGAAGGATGTTCGGAGATAAGCTCATCATTTTCTGGCCTACTGTGTTTTCTCTGGAATGTTATGGATTTAAACCGAAGACTCGGCCGTGATTTTATTTTCAGTAAAGTTTCCACTGATTGAAGCAC